TGCCTGGAAGTCTCTGCCAAAGGGGGCAGGCATGAGTTTCCCCGGGCACGTGTGAGGCTGTCAGTAGGTTTCAGAGTTAACGCCCCAGGCGTCTCGAGGCCTGAGGAGTCAGGGGGCTGCGAGTCCGGAGTGAGGGGCACCAGAAGGGGATCTGGGGTTCAAGACCCAAGTGTGGGGGGGGGGGAACCCTGCAGGAAGTTGGGTTTCCTGGCTGGCTTGGCTCCTTGGCCAGCACACTGTGATGTTACTGGTGAGTCAGCCAATAGTCCTGTGACTGAGGGGCAACTCCTTTGCATGCCGGGCTCCCATTGGCTGAAGCTGGCTGTCGGGATGGTGGGAGGGCTGGGATTGCTGCTGCATGGCGGGGTTGAGGGGGCAGGGGGGTGAGGCCATCCCTGGAGTTGGGGGGGCTTTGAGGGGTGGGGGCATGTCTCACCCCCTATCCCCATGTTCCCCCTGCCCCCGTGGGGATCAGGGCCTGGGCAGGGAAGGGAGGAACCTCCTTGCATGCTGGATCCCACTACTGACACCAAGTGCCCTGAGCCCCGCCCTCTTCACACAGACCCCGCCCCCTTCTCACAGCCCTGCCCCTCATGTCTCCCAGCAGCCCTATGTGTCTGTGGCCCAGCAGATGGCGCCCCCCAGCCCCGGCGGCAGCAACAGCGGCGGGGGCGTTGGCGGAGACCAGCTGAGCAAGACCAATCTGTACATCCGGGGCCTGCACCCCGCCACCACCGACCAGGACCTGGTCAAGCTGTGCCAGCCGTAAGCCGGGCCCCGGCGGGTGGGCATGGGGAAGGGGCCCCAGTCTCCTCTTCTGCCTCCACAACTGCACAAGGCTGAGTCCCAACAACACTTGTGACACCTGCTGGGCTCTGCAAGCTTCGGCTGGGGGGAAAGCGAGGGGCCTCCACGCTGCCCTGCTCCCTGCCTCAGTTTCCCCCCCCATAGCAGCCTGGGCTGGCGGGAGGGCTCTGGCTGGAGGGGGGATCCATGGCCTGTGGGGCAAGGAGGGGCCCAGACTTGGCAGCTCCCCAGGCCTTGGCGCTTCCTCCCCCGCACTGCTGGACCGACGCTGCCCGCAGGAAATCCTGCCTGGCCTGGAGCAGGGAGGGGCTGGAACCGCCTCCACTCCCCCATACAGGACAGGGGCACCTGGATGGGGCAGGACAGGGCACCCCATCTGTAAACGGAGGCACTCGGTCTCCCATCCACACACCAAATGAGCCCGGCCCTGCTTAGCTTCCAGGAGCTGCCAGGGGCCCTAGACACCCCTCCCCAGGGCCCACTTCAGCCTGCCAGTAGGGGGTGCTGCCTCTCTCTGGGCCAGGGGCTGCGGGTCAGGAGTGAGGGGCACCGGCAGGGCTGGTGGGGTGAGGGCCAAGCCCCACCCCAGAGGGGCCCAGAGGGCCCCCTCTGCCCCCCCCGACCCCCCTCTGTGCCCACCCAGGTACGGCAAGATCGTCTCCACCAAGGCCATCCTGGACAAGACCACCAACAAGTGCAAAGGTCAGTGGGGGGGGCAGGGGGCTTTCCCCTCCCCTGCATGGGGGGATCATGGTGGGTGGGGGGCGGACAGTGCCTGGCCTAGTGGTGGGGAGGGACTGCCTCTGTCCTGGTGCCCGACCCTGGCTGCATGGGGGCATCCCTGGCCCATTTACCACGTTGCACCCCGCTCCAGCCAACTCCCAGCATTCGTGCGCCCCCTGACCCTGCCTCCTGGGGCAATTAACCCCCCTACCCTACGCCCCCAGGCTACGGCTTTGTGGACTTTGACAGCCCCACAGCGGCACAAAAGGCGGTGACGGCGCTCAAGGCCAGCGGAGTCCAGGCCCAGATGGCGAAGGTAGGAGACCCCGGACCCCCGTCATCACTGGCTGGGGGAGGGGAGGGGGGCAGAGCCGGCCCCCAGACCTCCACCACAGGCCTGGAGGGGTATGCAGGGCTGGGGGGTGTTGAGGGGGAGTGGTCCCTGGCCCCCCACCCCGCACTGCTTGTCTCCATAGCAACAGGAGCAGGACCCCACGAACCTGTACATCTCCAACCTGCCGCTGAGCATGGACGAACAGGAGCTGGAGACGCTGCTCAAGCCCTTCGGGCAGGTTGTGTCCACCCGCATCTTGCGTGACAGCGGCGGGGCCAGCCGCGGCGTCGGCTTCGCCAGGTCAGTGCTGGGGGCAGGCGCCGGTGCACGGGCAGAGGGGTTTGCACAGAGCCTGCCCTGCATGGTGGAGGTCCCAGGGAGCCTGGAGGCTTTGGAGCGGGGACCCCCCTGGCACTCAGGAGGAGGCTCCCCTGGCCTGTGCCCCCCCAGGAGGGAGGCCCGAGGCCATCATCACTCACTTCAACGGGAAGTACATCAAGACGCCCCCAGGGGTCCCAGGTGAGAGCACGGCTGGGAGGGGGGGGCTGCAGGTTGGGAGTGAGGGGCACCGCTGGGGCTGGGGGAGCAGGAGTGAGGACGCAGCCCCTCCCCCCGCAGTGCCCCCGGACCCGCTGCTCTGCAAGTTCGCGGACGGGGGCCAGAAGAAGCGGCAGAACCAAGGCAAGTTTGTGCAGAACGGACGGGCCTGGCCGCGGGACAGTGACACGGTGAGTGCCCGGGATCCCCTGCCCCCCCAACCCGGGGGAGGGCTTAACCCCTTCTCCCCTGCAGGGGAGGGGGCACTGTGCCCAGGGCAACCCTGACCCCCTTGCCCCCCCGCAGGGTGGCGTGACCTTGACCTACGACCCCACGACGGCTCTGCAGAATGGGTGAGCCCCCTTGCCACTCCGGGTTCACCCCGTGGTGCCTGACCCCAGGGCTGCCCTGGGGTGGGGGGCATTACCTGCTGCCCCCCGCCCCTGCAGCCCTGTGCCTATTGACCCCCCCGCCCCTCGCAGGTTCTACACGACCCACTACGGCCTCGCGCCCAACCGGATGGTCGCCCAGACTGCGCTCGGCCCCTACCTGCCCTCGCCCGTCTCATCCTACCAGGTACAAGTCCTGGGCACTGGCGGGGTCAGTAGGTGGAGGGGCAGGCACTGGACCCCTAACTCCTGACCCCTCCGCTGTCCCGCAGGTTCACAGCCCGTCCTGGATGCATCACCAGTCGTACCTCATGCAGCCCACGGTGAGACCCCCCGTTACCCCCCCAGCTCCCCCCATCCCTCCCCACCGCAGGGGCCCCCTCTCCAAAATCTGCCCCGGCGGCGCTGGCACGGTAAGGCACGGTGCAGCCCCTTGGTCCCCCCCCGGTGTCGGGATCAGGGTCCTCGGTCCCCCCTGATGCCTCCTTCCCCCCCTCAGTACATGCCAGCAGGAGCCACACTGCAAGGGGCCTACATCCCTCAGTACACGCCTGTGCCTTCCTCCAGCATCGCGGTGGAGGTCAGTGGGGCTGGGGGTGCATTTGGGGTGGTGGGGGCATCTGGCGGGGGTCCCTCCTCTTGCTGCGGCAGTCTGCAGGGACCATCTGCATTGCTTGGGCTCTATTGTGGGTCTGCGGGGGGCGGGCTGAGTCCCCTCGGGGAGGGGGGTCACGGGATGGTAGACCCCTCTGGGTGCCAGAACCCTGCCCCCCTGTGTTGCCCTGCAGGAGCCCAGCGGGCAGCAGAGCCAGGTGCCGGTGGAGTCGCCGGCGGAGCATGCAGCCTACTCCTACCCCTACAGCAAGTAGCGCTGGGTAAGGCCCCGATCCTGGGGGGGATGGAGCCAGTCCTGGAGCAGGGGCTGGGGCAGGGGCTGCGGGGGCCCTCTCCCCCCCCCCCCAACTCGAGCCCCCTGTGTCCTGCAGCCTCCCCGGCCCTGTGGACCTGGACTGTGCCAGGACTGTGGAGCTGAAGCAACCCCAGTGCAGCCCAGTACGGCCCAGTGCAGCCCGGCCTGGCCCGGCCCCTCCCGCAGCTGCTGATCTCTTTCTGTTCGGTTCTTTCTCTGCCGAGGGCCCCGGGGAGAGGACAGCGCTTTCTTCCCTGCCCTCCCCCACTCCCCCACCCCCAAAAGAGGAAAAGAAACTGAGACAAACGCCACGTGCCAC